TCCTTTCCTTTCCTTTCCTTTCCTTTCCTTTCCTTTCCTTTCCTTTCCTTTCCTTTCCTTTCCTTTCCTTTCCTTTCCTTTCCTTTCCTTTCCTTTCCTTTCCTTTCCTGTAGGCTATCAAGTTTTGTGAAACAGGTGCCTCATTAAGATTGGCTTCTGTTGAAAAAAGTTTGATAAAGAGGATTTTTTTTATGATGGAAGAGAGATGAAAGATTTGTTCAGAATGATTCTGCATTGAACTTCAAAGGGCCAAAGAAACTGTTTTCAATCACAGATGATGAGAGCAATGGAAGGCAATTGTGGGTTCTCCTACTAATCAACACACCAATTTCAATGAGCTGAGAAATAATTGCAAACATATCAGATACGTTGCTTTTGCATATTTCCTTTCTTAGGGACTGTGAAGTGTTTACAAACAGAGCTTTTGGGTAATAGATACACTTTGTGCATTTGGTATACAAGTGAAGGATTAAACAAAAAATTTATTCTAAAAAAGAGCCCTACCTTTCTATATTCCTAGTTAAGAAGTTGCACCTAGACAATTTAGGCTGAAACAAAAAAGCTGAATTCAGAATAGGCTGTTCTCTTCTTGCATCTTTTTGGTAGATATGCATTAAATCAATTTGCACAAGATCCAAAAAGCTGAAAGCGTCAGAAAGGTATTTATTTCCAGATGTATGCACAATCATATGAATACATTTAATTCCCATCATTTCAAGTATTAAATATTTTAGATTATAAAACAGCACTGGCAAAATATAGCAGTCTTCTCCAAATTTTCTCTTCCAGGAGGATCAGTATTGCAGTTCAGCTCATTCAGAGATTTCCAGGTTTGGAAGACTGGACTAAATATTGTAGTGCCACCAACATTTATACTCCCTCTGTTTATACACATCATTGCCACTTAGGAAGGACTATATAATGTTCAGATATCAAAGGTTGTAGATATGCATGTTTTCTAATACAGGAGTCCTAGGCTCAGTGTTTGTTTAACGATATCAGATAATAGGGCTAGAAAGATCACTTCCATAGAGTTTAGAGAGGCACTACCCATCAGAATACAGCAGTTATTACTGAGATTTATGTCAGTATAAAAATATCTGGGGGAATTGGGAAACTGCATCAGACAAGGCAGGATAGTCTCACTCTAGATAAGGAGCTTCAGCTGCATAATTATAATCCTGTTGTTGACTGCTTGATTGTGTGCTATCAGGTCAGGATTGACTTCTAGTGAACACATGGATAGATCTTCTCCAGGATGATCTGTCCTCAACCTGTCCCTTCAGGTTTCCCAGTGATGTATTTCATCACCCCTGTAAACTTCTTCTGTTTCCTTCCACCTCTCCCAGCATTATGGACTTCTCAAGAGATCTGGGTCATTGCATAATGTATCCAAAATATGATAGTTCAAGCCTGATCATTAGTGTGAAGTGAGAAGTTTGTTTTCTTGGCTATCTATGATATTCTCAGGAAGCTTCTCCAACACCAAAGTTCAGAAGCATTATCCTGCTTCCTCAAAGTCCAACTTTCACATGCATAGGCTACTGCATGAAAAACCATGGCCTGCATGATTCTGATCTTGTAGGTATAGATACATCATAGCATCTTAATATCTTTTCCAAGACCTTCATTGCTATTCTATCAAATGCTAGTCTATGACATATTTCTTGACTGTTGGTTCTTTTACTATTGATAATTGATCCTAAAAGGCAGAATCTGTCCACCATTTCAATATCTTTATTGCTAGTTTTAAGGCTGGTTGTTCTACTTGTCATTAATTTGGTCGTCTTTATATTTTACTTTAGCTCCATTTTTTTCACTTTGCTCCTTAACTTTTATTACTTTATTTCTTATTACCCTAGGCCATACAGTCTGACTATGTTCTATGTTACTATTTCCAACATTGGCATTCCAGTCTTCCAGTCATCTTGCTGGCATGTTCTATCAATTTCAGATTGAGCTTGACCACAGAACTCATCAACCTTCTCTTCTGTATCAATGATTGGAGCATAAACTTGGATAACCATCTTATTAAAAGGTTTTCAAAGTCTAATTGGTATTATTTGGCTATTGATTGCATTGAACCCAAGTACTGTCTTTACTATATCCTTACTGACTATGAAAGCAATGCTCTTCCTTCTTTGTTTTTCATGACCTGAGTAGAAAACAGTATGATCTTGTAAATGTCCAATTCCAGTTCATTTCAATTTGCTGCTGCCTAAGATGTCAATGTGTAGTTGATTCATTACATCTTTCACTGTATTGAGCTTTCTCGTGTTCTGCATTCTTATATTCCATGTTCCCAATGTAATTCTGTCTTTGCAGTTTCAGATTTCTTCCTCCCCCCCCCCCCCCCCCCGCATGGCAACATCAGCAACTACACATCCTGAAGACTTTAATCTAGTTGCATCATAAACACCATTAGTTCTCTGAAAGATCCTCAGATTCTCCTTCTCAATAGCACGTTGAGTGCCATCCAACCTGGGGGCCTGTCATCTGGTACTATATTGTTAATCACTCTATCTTGTCTTTCCATGTGGGCTTTTGGTGAAATACAGGGGTGGCTTACAGTTTCCTTCTACCACACAATATGAAACAATTCCTTTGCCGTTATTGCTAAAGAGATCATCCATCTTCAGGATCTTCCTATATGGCTGCTACCCAATATAGCTGCCTGCTTGCTTTAGAAAGGGAGCTGGGATGACCTTCATGCCTTTGGTGACTCTTTGGGGATTATATACTCTTGCCATGCACTCCCAGTGGGGGAGGTAGTGGGATGGGGATAATCCTGTCATTTTGTTGTTGTTTAGTCATTAAGTCGTGTCCGACTCTTCGTGACCCCATGAACCATATT